ATGATTTCTAGTAAGTTGGTATTATAATTTAGTGTTTTGTGATAAAAGAAAGTATGTTGATGATTATACCGGGTGTTTAAATTAAAGTTTTACAGTTAAATATCGCCAAAAATATGCATTTTATAAAAAAAAGTATCAGACAAAAGTTTTATAGTTTTTTAGGGGAAACATTTTGGCTAAATTAATTTTTTTATAGCTGACGATAATATATCCATATCGAGGTGGATTTTTTTTTTTTCAAATTGGAACCCTTTTTTTTTACATAGGTGTTCTTAGAGTTCATAAAAAAATAAGAAACTTCTAAGGGAAACATTTTTTTATTGGAATTCTACTTATTGAGTAACACCTACTTGAAAATTTTGCTGCGCGAAAAAAAAGTTGGGTTAGCTATAAAAAACGGTTTTAGCCAAAATGTTTTCCCCAAAAAACTATAAAACTTTCGTTTTTTTATAAAAGGCGGTATTTAACTGTAACACTTTAATTTGAACACCCGGTATATTTGACATTTTTTTGGAACGTAAAATAAAAATTCTACCAGTAGATATATTCATTTGTTTTTCAGAATATATTAATTATTGTTCTTAACCTACAACACGATCAGGGGGTCGATTCTCGATTCGTAGGAATTCTGTTTCTCGCTGGCCATTTTTGCTGGTCGTATTGTATGTAGGGTTTATATAAATGAGTAGGGATATATTAAAAAAAACTGAGAACTATTTCAAAAGAATACAAAAAAAAAACAACTCGAGAACAGTACAAGTTGTATTTATTGGATTTGAAAGACAAACCAAATTTGATATTATCAGTCCTTTTTCCTGATTATCTTTTCTGTTGATGTCATCGGCTTCGACAACTCAGGCCATTAGCCTCGTTTTCTGTGTAGGTTACGGAGAAGTATTATTATAATAGGTACTTCCATAATATAGGTTTTGTTACTGTTTCGCAGTGCTACTTTAGGAACAGCACTGTTAATAAAAATCCAATAGTAAATGGTCGAATGGGCAATCCTAACTTTGAATAAAATTTATTTTTAAAATAATTAAATAAATTAGAAAAAAATTCCTTACAAATTGTATTTGCTGTGTTAGGTAGATGGCAATTTAGTTGTAAAATTTGTAAAAAAAGTGTTTTTATTATTTAGAACATATCCTGAGTCACAATAAAAAATGAGAGGGAATGCAAAAATCACTATAACGACACTTCATATTATTAACGACAGCTCTTTGGCTATCGTTGATGAACGACAATTTTACAACCATGTTTGTCTATTTTCAACGACAATCGTTGTCTACTGAATAAGAAAAGTCGTATGTGAACGATTGTCGTCTATTAACGACGTCGTTCAGAGTTACTGAATAGGCCCCTTAGTCTTTTAGTTAGTATTTTTCAAATAGTTTCGATATTGTAGGCAATAGATATTGGCCTATATGACGAAACTTCGTTCGGAGGTTTTCCTGGTTTGGGGATCATAATGACTTCAGCTACTTTACACAACCTAGGGACATACCTTAGTTTGAATGAGGGATTAAAAGGGGCCTATTCAGTAACTCTGAACGACGTCGTTAATAGACGATAATCGTTCACAGACGACTTTTCTTATTCAGTAGACAACGATTGTCGTTGAAAATAGACCAATATGGTTATAAAATTGTCGTTCATCAACGATAGCCACAGAGCTGTCGTTAATAATATGAAGTGTCGTTATAGGGATTTTTGCATTCCCTCTCATTTTTCATTGTGAATCAGGATGTGTTCTAAATAATAGAAGCACTTTTTTTACAAATTTTACAACTAAATTGCCGTCTACCTAATACAGCAAGTACAATTTGTAAGGAATTTTTTCTAATTTATTTAATTATTTTAAAAATAAATCTGATTCAAAGTTAGAATTGTTTTTATTACAACTGACTCCTTGACATTCCATTTAGGTGTGCCTGATGATGAAGTGACAACTTCGAAACCGGTCGCCAATAAATTGACTTGTGAGAAATAAAGGACCTTTTCTTTAACCTTTACACTTAAAGTTAGGATTGCCCATTCGACCATTTACTATTGGATTTTTATTAACAGTGCTGTTCTTAAAGTAGCACTGCGAAACAGTAACAAAACCTATATTATGGAAGTACCTATTATAATAATACTTCTCCGTAACCTACACAGAAAACGAGGCTAATGGCCTGAGTTGTCGAAGCCGATGACAACAGAAAAGATAATCAGGAAAAAGAATTGATAGTATCAAATTTGGTTTCTCTTTCAAATCCAATATATACAACTTGTACTGTTCTCCAGTTGTTTTTTTTGTATTTTTTTGGAATAGTTCTCAGTTTTTTTTAATATATCTCTACTCATTTAAATAAACCCTACATACAATACGACCAGCAAAAATGGCTCGAAAATGGCCCGCGAGAAACAGAATTCCTACGAATCGAAAATCGACCCCTGATCGTGTTGTAGGTTAAGAACAATAATTAATATATTCTGAAAAACAAATGAATATATCTACTGGTAGAATTTTTATTTTACGTTCCAAAAAAATGTCAAATATACTGGGTGTTCAAATTAAAGTGTTAAAGTTAAATACTGCCTTTTATAAAAAAACGAAAGTTTTATAGTTTTTTGGGGAAAACATTTTGGCAAAATCGCGCAGCAAAATTTTCAAGTAGGTGTTACTCAATAAGTAGAAGTCCAATAAAAAAATGTTTCCTTTGAATTTTCTTATTATTTTATGAACTCTAAGAATACCTATGTAAAAAATAGGGATCCCATTAAAAAAAAAAAAAAATCCACCTCGATATGGCCATATTATGGTCAGCTATAAAAAAAAATTAATTTAGCCAAAATGTTTCCTCCAAAAAAACTATAAAACTTTTGTCTGAAACTTTTTTTATAAAATGTATATTTTCGGCGATATTTAACTGTAACCATAGAAATACTGTAACACTTTAATTTAAACACCCGGTACAATCATCAACATACGTTCTTTTATCACAAAACACTAAATTATAATACCAACTTACTAGAAATCATCGTTCAGATTTGGTAACTAGAAACAACGTAACGACTTTGTTATTGAATAGAGTTTCAAAAATTATCGTTATAAAAGTCGTTGGTTGAACTGTCGTTAGCTTAACGATGTCGTCCATAAACGATAAATTACTGAATAGGGCCCTAAACAGGTACGTAAGTTTAATTATGGCTTTCTTCGGAAGTTGTTTTAAGATTTCTCCTGTAACTAGATCAAAGCCAGGAGCTTTCTTAGGATTAATATTTGTTTTTATATCTTCTGCAATTTCCTTTAGAGAGGTTGGTCTGTTAATTGAGTCATCTCTCTCTAGAGGAGCCCAGTTCGGTAATTCGTCTCCTTTATTTGGTTGGAAGGTATTTTGTAAGTGCTCTGCGAATCTATTAAATTTTGTATATTATTTCTAGCTCTGCTATCATCTGTATTTCTGATTGGAGCATTCTTCACTGTGGACCTTTTTAATCGCTTTGTGGCCTTCCATAGAAAATAATTAGTGGATTTACCGTTTGTCAACTCACTAAGATACTCACAAATAGATTCATTTTTGATTTGTTTTATCTATCTTTTTAACTGCTGGGTGGCGTTAAGTTTGGTTTTATCTGATAGAGCTCTGGTCTGATGCCATTTCCTCCTTAGTTTGCTTTTTGCAGAGATTAGGTCCCTTATTTCTTTAGGATAGTTATTTCCTGTTGTTCGCTGCACAATAGGTGGCCCATGCTACATGTTAGACACAAGTAGTTCTACTTCTTCATCTAGCTGTGCTCGTTCTTAACGGAACTGAAAGATTTATTTTATTTTCAAGGTCCAGTCTGAAGCTTCGCCAGTCTGTTCTCCTATTTATTAGTCTAGGAGCGTTTTCCTTTTGGATAATGGTGTCACTAAGTGAGAATAATCAGCGAATGATCTGAATTCACGTCCCATGCCTCATTAACTTGGGTGTAGTTTGCTGAAATATTTCGTACAACAAAAAAGTATATTAGGTTGGGTATTTTGTTTCTATCTGTGGGCCAACATGAGGACCTTTTTTTTCTAGCTATCACCCAAAAATAGTGCGGCCCGTGTAGCAAACAAACAGATTTATGAAGCCCGAAAAAAAAAAAAGGTTGAGTACAGCTGCCCTAGACTCAGCTAAAGCTGTGGGTTTTTTCGACAACTTTTAATATTTTATATTATGTATAGTGTATATGCCCGTTTAAATAAATAAAGACGGATTTTGATACTCCTAGACAGTTGTTTAGATATTATATTAATACATTGTTTAAACGCTCCTGCTCGCTTGATTACTTGTGTTCCCTCTCAGCGAATTCTTCTCCTAACAATCATCTCCGAGAAGTGTTAATTTGAAGAAATCTCCATCCTTCCTGACGTCCCCGTTTCTCCTTGTGTCAGTGTCTATTAAAACGCCAATAACTACCTGGTAGTTCGTCATTACCTTCCAGGAGATAGCGCCCCTTTTTTCGATAACATACTTTGATACATTAAACAATAAAGTAAACAATTTTTAAAATATATTGTGATGTTTGTTTATTTTCAAACAACAGTTTATTTATTAATAATTTATTTAAACACTTATTTATTTTAAACAATACTATTTTAATTTATATATACTTCGAATGTCTTTAAACTGATCACTATTTATATTCACCACTGTCTATCTACTAATTACTATTTATCTTCACTGTCCATATATCAACTGACTTTGATGGCTCATCCACCAATATTTATATACAAATTTCTAAAATTTGGTGGAGTCGCGAAGCTTCTCCACCAAACTAGAAATATTTCGAACAGTCCAGAAATATTATTTCGTCCTTTCTCGAACATCATCGAAATCACCTCCGCCATAGTCGTCCCATAGGTTTGGTCTTAAGGGGTTTAATTATGTATAATAATCGGACAAGTTGAGCCTTAAAGGCCAAAATAAGGCAGAGAGGGACTTGTAGGGTTAGAGCATGACTGAATAATGAAATGGCTCACATAACAATATAACAAATTTTTATTATTTACAAACATTTTAAATCTTATAACTGGTTGGAGTATTATAACGACAAATATCATCTTCAACAATAAAAATTACAATCACAGTACTTGAACAGAAGCTACCTCGTGAGCTAGACCGCATAAATTATTCCCGATAGCCACATATAAATATCCATCATGACCAAAATCTTTGCCCCAAGAGTTTCTAATAATGTAATGCGGAATAGGACCTGTCAAATCGTATCCTACGATTTGAACGGCATGGTTCAAAGATGTGGCGGAACTGTCACAGTGGAATTGAATGATACCGCCTATGTAGTGTTGCCAACTTTCAGCGTTGATTCCAACCGCCAGAGTACCAAAATTGGCTAAAATGTACAGCATTACAAACTCGTTGCCGACAAAGCTGAAATTAAAATAGGAATTATTTGTGTTTAAATTTTTACAATTTTGTCTATTTAACAGACGGTTGCAATTTATGGGCTTAATAAACTTTAAGTTTGAGAATGTGATATATCAGAATGACATGAACTTCAAATTACGCATTATGCACATAGCTGGTTTTTAAAATCAACAAGAGGTCTTGCAATTAAGTATTTAGGTATTTAATAATAATGTTGTAAAACGAACATTTGAAGGGACAAACAAAATCATTTCAAATATACAGGTTGTGAGGACGTATGTGTTCCTAATACAGTATAACCTGCCTAATTGTATTATTAAACTCATTTATAAAATCAAATCTTGAATACGTGTTGCTGATATGGTCACCCATGTATACCTACCATAAATTACTAATTAAATCCATCCAGCACATATTTATGAAATATGTTGCATTTAAAATTGATGGTATTTATGCGGAAAGGGGAATTGATAATGATGTTTTATTGGGCAAATTGTCGTTCATGTTTCTAAAAGGCAGGAGATTACTGCAGGATATAATTTTTATTTATAAATTAGTTAACAACAGTAAAAGGTTTTTATTTAACAAATCTATATACATTCACCGAAAATGCGAAGACTAATTATGTAGCTATTCTTTAATTCTTAACCTTTTGAGTTTACAGAGAGGAAAAAAAATACAATATACAGTGTGTCTACTTAAGTTGAAACCATATGGAAAACATTTTTATTATTGATTTTAGGAAAAAAAGTTATTCTTGATAAAAAGTCCTGCATGACCCAAAACTTAAAATACAGTCATCAGATATCAAATTTTTCAAGCCGTATACGAGGTTTGTCAAAAAATATGAATTTTGCTCAAGAGTAAAGTACGTTTATTTTTTTACAAAATCGAAAATTTTCATTAAGAAATTTGCTAAATTCTTCACAAACATCAACAAAAGGAAAGCGTATCATGTTTATAGTAGCTAACGTAATTTATAACGTTTTCAGATATTTACAATCAATGTGTAGAGTGTAGAGTTTATAAAAAATAAGAAAATCTGTTTTTTCAGATAGATCGGTGTAATTGCATATTTAAATGTAATATTCAATTCTAATCAACTTTTCTTAATGAAAATTTTCGATTTTGACAAAAATAAACGTACTTTACTCTTGAGCAAAATTCATATTTTTTGACAAACCTCGTATACGGCTTGAAAAATTTGATATGTGATGACTGTATTTTAGGTTTTGGGTCATGCAGGACTTTTTATCAAGAATAACTTTTTTCCTAAAATCAATAATAAAAATGTTTTCCATATGGTTCCAACTTAAGTAGACACGCTGTAGAATTAAATTTAGCCTAAAGTATATTATGAAAAAAAAAAAAAAGTAAAATAAAAGAAAGCAAGAATTAAAATTGTCATACTAGCAATGTTTTTTATTCTTTGCAGAACATGTGAATTGATAATGATAAATCTGGTTTAAAAAAGTTAAATAGTTTGACAGAGTTATATGTAAAATTGAGCTCAAAAAGAGCTAAAGAGTGATGCGGCATGGTGAGTGTGAATGTGTCTGACTCTTAGATTAAAGAGACCGAAGATGTAACATTGCACACTGCGCATGTGGTCTATTTTAACCCCAAGCAACCCACCAATTGAAAATCGACGCCACCTGAATTGCTCCGATATTTATATTCAACGCTCATCTCCGCCTGAGTTCAATCACCATTGACAGCTGTTTTTTAATTTATTTGTTGATGTTTTAGCAATTTAAAGTGTTCTAGTTATTCAATTTAAAGTGTTCTAGTTATTCAATTTCAAGTTCAAAATGCCAAAATGTACCTTGAAAAATTGTACATTGTATTATTTCATAACTATTATTTAATCGATTACTTAATGATTATGAAGTTATTGGAAAAAAAAAATTTAAAAATCTAACCTGTTGGGGGATTGAACCTGGGTTTTTTGCTTACAAGGTAGGCCTTAATCAAGTAGGTATACACTAAATGTCAAATTGAAATTTATTATTTTGACGTTTTATAGTAATCAAGTGTTTTTAATAATTATACCATTAATAAATAAATACATGAAAAGTTCAAACAAAACTATTTTAGGGAAAATCGATAAATTTATTCGCTTATAAAAGAGGTCTTGTTATATTACCTCCCGAATAAAGTAGTTTACTATGGTTTCTATTGGTTTTGTTATTTGCGGGACTAAAATTTTTTAATCCCTGGGGACTAAAATATTTTAATCCCTGGGGACTAAAATATTTTAGTCCCTGAGGTTCAAAAAATATATTCGTTTTCACCGGCAAATATTTATTAATGTTTTGACATAGAGCCGCCATAATCCTTTAGATTGAATACTTCAGATCCGCATTAAGGTATTTCTCTAAAAATTAACCATCACATATTTCAGAAAACAGATTTCATAGTGCTAACATAAAGGACCAGGCACCTTTCTTATGGAAAAATGGCTTTCCGTCAAATATTCTGAAATGTTGATATGTTGTAAAAAGTGTCCATTGGTCCAAGCCGATTCTAGGAGTAGTTTTCGATGTTAAACATCGGAAATGCCACTTTTTTGTAAGTATATTTCTCATAACAAACCTGTTTTATTCAAATTTTTTTTTGTAGAAAACATGAATTATTTGAGACTATTTTATAAAAAGTTACTGTAGAAATTGGTTTGTAAATATGAAATATGTTTTTTTTTGAAAATATAATTTTTCCTACGACCACTTAGGAAAGTGACACATATCACACTATATAGACCTATGGAAAGTGCCCTATATCACACGCGTATGAATAAGAATTTACTTTCCACCCAAGTGAGAATATGCTACTTTCCGCAGTAGCTGTCAGAAAATGTCAAACACATAATTTCTATTTTGATCTATGTAATGTCCATATTAATACTAAAATCGATATGATTGTTAAATTATTGTAAATTAGATCCTAGATATTTATCTTTAACAATTATTTTTAAAATAATTTTAAAATAACTAAGATATATTTGCTTTTTATTCTGGTTAAACACATAAGCGATTAGATCAATCAATTACCGTAAGGCCTGTTAGCTCAGTTGGTTAGAGCATCAACTTTGCAATTTGAGACCGTCCAACGACCGCGATCGAATCCTGGCTGTGCCAGAATTTTTTTTTTTATTTTTTTTTTTATTTTTTTTTATTTGTTTAGAAATTATGAAAATTTAATAAATACGATTATTGTTGATTATTTTTTTAAATACATTTTAATTATTATAATAATCTGGTTTTACTCGGCTTACGCCTCGTGCGACAATATTTCCCACTCGTGTGAAAAATGTCACTTTCCACACTCGTAATGTAATATACTATTTTATGACAGTATCAAAAATATGAACAATTACAATTGTACGATAAAAATATATTTTAAGTAATTGCTTCATGATAATATATCATATATTATACTCAAAAATGTGGTTATAGATGGCATATATTGTTTTTCGGCTTTAACGATGTGTCCTGAATTTTTAATATTATATTAAATAAATATAACACCTGTCACTCTATGTCATACAGGGTGTTAAACCGATTGTAAAAACTTTAATAATTAGAAAAGCAGTTTTTTGTGCAACACTCTGTATTTTAAAAGTTTCTCCGTCAATTTGATAAATTATTACATTTTTATAACTGAGCAAAATTTTGTTTTAATCCTATGACGAGTTTTTCTAATATGTATATAATTACTTAAATTATATTTTCATGGTACAATAATAATTGTTCATGTTTTTACGATGCAAAATGATTTTTGCAAAAAAATACATATTTCGTATTTCCGATCCACACTGTAATTAACCAATTTCTACAGTAAGTTTTCATGTCAAATAATTTATAATTCATATTTTCTAAAATAAACGCGAATAAAATAGGTGTGTTGTGAGAAATGCTTACAAAAAAGTGGTATTTCTGATGTTTAACACCCTGTATATCGAAAAGTAGTCATAAAATCGGCTTGGGGCCAATAGACACTTTTTGTCAGAACATCGAGTTCTACAACATATCAACATTTCAGAAAATTTTACGAAAAACCATTTTTCCATAAGAAAGGTGCCTGGTCCTTTACGAAGAGCCAAAATTTTGAACATTTAATTTAGTCTTATGTGAATACAGGGCCGACTAGGGGGGAGGGCAGCCGGGACTTATTCCCGGGGCCCGGGCTCAAATGGGTGGTGGTGGTATTGTTACTTTCAGAACAGAAGTTCGACAGAAGAGGGGGGAAGTTCTTAGAGGAGGAGAAATGTTTGCTTGAAAACCTTTTTTTTTAGAGAGATTCAAGTAGAGGAAGAGAAATTTTTGCTTGAAGACCTTTTATTTCATTTTTTATAAAATTGTCGCGGGGCCCGATCTGGAAAATTGTCCTGGGGCCCGGTCTGGCTCTCGGCGGCCCTGTGTGAATAAGAAGTAAATAGGCGAAAATAATAGTCATAATAAAAAAAATACGGTTGCTGCCCCGTCGACAGGAGGGCAGGGGGAAAAATTCTCGGGGCCCGGCTTTAGCTGAGGACGGTTTTTTTAGAAGTTCGCCATAAAAGGGAGGACCTGGTTTGAGGACTTTTTTTTATTTCACTAAGAAAGGATCTGATTTTGCTGGAGGACCTTTTTTTATCTACTTTTATTATTTTAGAACTCCCTCAAATATTTCGCTTTTCAAAAGGGTTCCGTCGCCAAAAAAGTTTGAGAAACGCTGATCTAGTATATAAACAAAAATAAATACTAAAGTTACGCTAGTTAAATCATATTGTTAATAATATGTTACATTATAAAACGCTCGTAAACTAGTAAACAATTTGTTTACTAAAAAACCATATTCTTGCAATATTTATTATACAATCGAATGCGATTTTAAAGATAACGGAATGAAAAAATCCGAATCTCTGAATTTTGGAGATAAATGCTCGAAAGCTACCAATAGGGGTTGCAAAAATAAACGATTAATCGATTATTCGGTTATTTTTTAGAAAAAGTGATTTGTCGGTTAATCGGCTATTTTCGATTAATCGATTATTTTTTAAGTTAGGCGAAATAAACGATTATTTGAAAATATTCGGTTGATTGAAAATAATCGACATACGGTAATTTTTTAAAAAAAATCGATTTATGGGTTTTTTAATTCATCGATTATCTTCGAATAATCGGTTATTTTCGGTTTTTCAAATATAATCGAATAATCGATTTTAAAGGAAACACGAAAAGAAAATCGACCATTTAAAAATAATAGATCGATCGAAAATAATCGATTATTTTAAATAATCGATAATTCGGAATTTTTTTTAGAAATATTGATTTACCGGTTTTTTAATTAATCTATTATTTTCGATTTTTTAAATATAATCGAATAATCGATTTTGAAGGAAATACGAGAAGAAAATCGATAATTTGAAAATATTCAATTGATCGAAAATATTCGATTATTTTAAATAAATCGAAAATTTATTTAAATAATCGCTCACTCCTTGCGACCGAATGACTTTCATTAGATTTAAATTTAAAAATGTTATCTGGTTTCAGAAATACATATTTCTAGAGTTTTATGTGACATATCCTCTATATTTGATATTCCTAAAGCAAAAAGCTTTAATATATATGCCCTTTTCTGAGGTTACAATACAAAACAGGCTTTTGTCATCTAAACTAATTTTTAATATTATGCAATAGCGTAGAAAAAACATAATGTTCAACTCACAAGGAATGCTCATTTCCTAATGGTTTGATTTACAGTATTTGCCTGTGGCACATGCTGCGAGTATAATACTCGTAGGTGAGTATCATTCCTTGCTCGATTAACAATATTCTATTTCAAAATTTGATTGTAGTCTCTTGCAGAAAAGTCAGTAAGTAGTAAATAAACGCACAAAATATTCTATACAATAACTTTTGTCTTCTCTCTACATAAAATGTCGTTGCATCTGTTCGATATTAAAAAAATCACGTTAATTTTATTTGATAATACAACAATCCATTAAACATATTTTAAGTAAATCTAATACTTCATGCCTCAGAATTGGGAGGAAACTCCGTTAACCTTTCTTTAGAGATTGGCAACATTCGCGCAGGTTAAACACCGTTGTATGTTACGTCTATGAAGACTAAAAAGAAGGAGGCGAATCGGCAATGGTCAAATTTGAAATTTCCGTCCTCCTTTTTATAAAGTCGCGAAATTGACTGTAGTTGGCATGTCTAATGACAGCGGTGTCAATTTTCTATGTAAGTCAATGTAAAATGAAGTTATTTTTTAAAAAATTAGTGAAAATAATCAAAATAATGTGAAAAAAGTAACATGAGTGACAAAAAATATCAAAGTAAGATTTACGTCATTCCAGATCGTAAAACAGGATAAAAATCAAATGTAACTAAAGAAAACAAGAAGAAATCAATTCAATGTATTTTTAAAGCTTCTAATATAACTAAAATAATGTATTCATGTTTAAATATAATATTTATTGTAAACTAGTCACAATATGTATCTTACGAAGTGTAGTTTATTTTATTACAGGTTTCTATAATATAAAATTTTACAGTCATAGATGCTGACTTACAAACAACAATAATTATGCATTAAATGTAACTTACTAGAAAAGAAAATTTATTGTTTATAGAGTTTTAATGTTATAGAGTTTAATGTTATTTTTTTTTACCCCAATTGGGTCATTGTAAATATTTGATTATTAAACGTTCCTAGTGCCGATAAAGCACTTTCTAGAGATGATGCTGTTCAGTACTGTAACCTACCGCACCCAGGTACCTTAATAATTTATTAATTTCATTTATTAAATACAATATTGCATTCTTTTAAATTCAAAATGCTTCATTTAACGAAAAATCTCCCAAATAATTAAATCTTATTTACGACACCTAATAAATAATAGCTATAATCACGTCCGTAAAAGATCCAAATTTCTGAACGAGTCTGGAAACACAGACCATATTTCTTTTCACGAAGTAATTATCGTTAAAATACTTAACTAGCTTATTTTTCTAGTTTCGATGATAAGACCGATATCGACAATATTTCGATACACAAAGCTTTCAAGGCAAGTAATAAATAAGCCACCCCCTGCACCCACCGTATTTCTATGAGAAATAAAGACATAGACACGTCACAAACCCATTAAAACTTTTATTATAAAAAGCCAGACAAAAATGAGCTCAGATTCATTCATTTTTAATTATTTGAAGTGCATGCATTTATTTGTTATGTGCAAGCATTCATTTATTATTTGTATCCAGTTATATTTCAAGTTCAGTAATCAGTACCTTTCCTATAACGCTCTACCTAAACGACGTCTATCCTACAATACCTCCTATCCCCGAAGGTGTCAACGTCTCGACGCCCAACGTCCTGCCGTCCTACTCCCTCTCCCTACGTCTCGAACGCTGTCACATTTCTCACCATATAAGTATTTCCTACCGTACACTCATTTCGACGTTCAACGTCCCACGCCTTATTTCCGACGCTTGCCGTCCCTAAATATTTCCTTCATAATATCACGTCTCGCACCACCTACATAATTCTACCGTATGTCTGTCCCAATACAATACCATATTAAATACCTTCCTTTCCACCACGACGCTAGGCGTCTCGACGATGGGCGCCTCGACGCCCAACCCTGCGATGTACCTACATCGACGCCGTCACAACGATAGATGAAATTAGTACATAATCTAATGTCTGTATTTTCAGTGGTGAGTTAAAAGATTTACGTATCTTTCTTTGAGATACCACCCCGGTTTCGTTTAAGGGCAGGCTTGACATTTGCTGTAAAATATTATCAATAAACCACATGGCCTTCAGGTCATACACCCCGAAAGACAGGATAGACATCTGTTTTTCGATGGGTGAAATTTTGAGTATTTTAATAGAAATTATAAAAATCAATATAAAGAAATATACAGGGTTATATTAAGTTATTTCAATAGAAATTATAATAATCATTATTAAAACATATACAGGGTTGTATTAAGTTAACTCAGTAGAAATTATAAAATCAATATTTTGGAAATATACAGGGATGTGCTATCTTGGATAAATTGTACAAACCAAGATGGTAAAATTTAATAGTAAGTTAACCAACTGGCGAATACGCTGTTCGTTAGCTCAAGGGGGGACACCTATACGCTAAGCAACCCGTTCTACAAGGTTTGAAACAAAGTTTATGTGAAATCAACATAGTAAGGTAATCAACATAGTAAGGTAATCAACTGGCGAATTGGCGCTGTTTGTTACTTCCGTTAGTCATCACCTCTATACTCATCGTAATATTTACCTAAGAGGGTGCAACCTGTATATATCTACAATAGAATCAAATCAACATCAACTCAATAGTTAATCAACTGGCGAATTGGCGCTGTTCGTTAACTTCATTGGCCATCAGATAAGAATATACACAACAACACTATAGTTAATCAACTGGCGAATTGACGCTGTTTGTTAACTCTGTTGGTCATCAACCTAAATAAAATATATATATTGATGGCAAATGAATATGGTCTGCGTTTGAACGGGACTCAAGTGAGATCTCAGTAAATAGTAACAATTGTAATATACTTTGCTAATTATTGCATCACATTTAAAGTATGAAAAATAAAAAAGAGTTTAAATATGAATTTGTATGTTTTATCAATTTGCACCAAACTTTGCATCGAATTCTGGTTTACTTTAATTAACATTATCACAACGTGGGTACATAAAATATCAATTAATTAACTAGACGATCACTTCTACTACTAGAGGAAAAAGGCCAAATACAGTAAGTAAAGAATTTAAAATAAAGTAAAACTTGTGAGGTAAAAATAACAATTTCACAGAGTAAAACACAAGAATAAAATCACAAAAAGAAGAGAGGGCCTGGAGGGTGGCCGTCACAGTACTTTAATTATTATTAATTATTATTAATTATTATTAATTATTATTAATTATTATTAATTATTATTAATTATTATTAATTATTATTAATTATTATTAATTATTATTAATTATTATTAATTATTATTAATTATTATTAATTATTATTAATTATTATTAATTATTATTAATTATTATTAATTATTATTAATTATTATTAATTATTATTAATTATTATTAATTATTATTAATTATTATTAATTATTATTAATTATTATTAATTATTATTAATTATTATTAATTATTATTATTATTAATTATTATTAATTATAAATTATTATTAATTAATTAATTATTAATTATTTATTAATTATTTATTAATTATTTATTAATTATTTATTAATTATTTATTAATTATTTATTAATTATTTAATAATTATTTATTAATTATTTATTAATTATTTATTAATTATTTATTAATTATTTATTAATTATTTATTAATTATTTATTAATTATTTATTAATTAATTATTAATTAATTAATTATTATTAATAAATTATTATTAATTAATACTATATTTTTTACCTCTCACAGTTAAATCCTTCGATTTTCACACCCCCAGAACCATATTTACTAGTTCTTTTACACGTTTCACTTGCTAAAGAGAGTGGGTATGTATCTTCTGTCAATATTTTAATATCAAAAGTAGTTATCCAGTCTAGTAATGTACAAATATCTCCTCCCTTACATCCATAGTCATAATCGGAACAGTCTATCATTTGTTGAACACTTAGTTTGGTTAGGTTACCTATAAATATTAAAAAAATATTAGTTTATCCTATTTAAATGAATTTTCAAGGTTCTTAAGAAGTTAAAGTATTTAATTTAGCTAAATTACCTACATTTTTTAAAAGCTGAAAAAAAATCATTTGACATTGGGAGGAAACAAGCTTCTCATTTAGTTAATTTCTTTATTGCTACCTATTATTTTTATCAAATAACAATCACAGTGTGCTTATAATTACTAGTAAATTATATATCCAGAAATTGCTATATGAACTTTTTAGCTAAAAAGGTATAAAAATTTAAAAGAAATGATACTGCTTTATTACTGATTGAATTTTGAATTACATTAAATTATGTATAAAAAAATGTTACAAATATTACAAAGTAAATATGATGTAGTTTCAGTTTTTAAAAATATAAAAAGTGATAGAAATGTAATTCCTCGAGGGATTAAAATTTTCAGTGATCAAACTAAACAGCAGAAAGAATACTACATGAAAATTAAGAGGCAATTAGAAGAACTTATAACAGATGAGAGCTCAAAAACAATTAAATATATTAACAATATACCCACTATTGTAGACAAAAATGGAAATAAAAAACCAGTAACGTACCCTAATATACTACCAAACACCGACATTATTTATAACATTGAAAGCTTAATTGCCCATAAAGTTAACGTAATTAATATAATACCATACCAACCCTCAATATTATTTAGTGAAACTCGAACTACTGCAAACATTGAAGATCCTGAAATAATGCTTCCAGATTATACTACTATCAGATGTGATTCAACTTCTAAATTAAAATTAAATATGGTATATACAAAAATATATATTAGAAAACAACTATTGGTACTTAATAATAAAAATTTCATACAATAATGTAAATATATTGGTTGATTCATTAAATCATTCACCAAGTGCTAGTCATTCAGTATTTCTTGAAAATTTTGAAAACATTTGTGATAATTTAACAAGTGTAACGGTTGAAACCGTTTTCGTTATTTAGACCCAAACATTGTAACGGTTGGAACCGTTTTCGTTATTTCGACACAACCATCTCTACTGAAATGTCATTTGTCGTCTTCTTCTTTTTATTCGCATTGCGAGAATTACTTTCGATTTTGATGTCAACGAATGAAGTTGATTTTAAATTTTTAATTATCTGGGTCATCCGATGTACTAAATAAAGTTTATCTATCGTATAGGCCGTCTGATTTTATAAGGTAAGCTTTTATACCGATATATTGTTGAAAATATATATTTTGTACAATAATTTCTAATTAAAATGTCAAATTTGAAACATAACATGAAAAACACAAGAATCACATGTTTTATATAATTTTATCTATTATTTTGTTAGGAAAGAGATACTATGCTTTACTATATTTAAATATGTTAAATAATATTTTTCCTTTTCATATTAATTTTAGTCTCTGTGAAACTATTCACTTAATAGTTTAAATTGTTCAATTAATAGTAAATAGCATCTGTTTCCTGTACAAATTTCCTAGTCCCTTTCGTAATGTTACCTTTTCCTTGTAGCCTGGCTGTATCTAGACGGTTTAGAAGTTATAGAGGTATAGAAGTTTTAGAAGGTATAGAAGTTATAGAAGATTTAGAAGTTTAGTTCAAACTGCATCTAAGGAAGGTTCGTTCGAGCCATCTAAAGAAGTTTATGAAATTTAAGTTTGGTACTGTCCGAAGAGTATCTACGAGTCCCTTTGAATAAGGCCTCTACTAGTCACTCCTTATTTACTACTTCTTGTCCAACAGATAAGTCTCTTTTGAATAAATCGTCTAAATTTGAATAAGTAAATCTCTGTGAATTAGAATTTGTTGCTACCTTATCTAAGACTTTATTTAATTATAATATCTTAATGGTTAGTGATTTTCTATATTTTTATCACTAATCGATACTCAAGTTTAGTAAGTGGCGCTTAACATTCTTTTTCAAAGTAATACGAGTTATTTAATAACCTGACCCACTCCCCCAAAATCATAAGTAATTCATATTCGTATTAAAAGATCGAATTTCATGCAAATTAGCGAAAATGCTTTACCAAGGTGTTCGAAAGTCATTTTTTAGTCCGTCGGTAGTGAATAGACAAAACTAGAGGTGAATTCTCCCACTCCGAAATTGTGCAGCCGAGGAGCTCTTCTGCTGGAAGGACATAAGAATGGGAAACCAAATTTCGGGTCTTTTGTTTTGGTACTCCGAAGCTCTCTAAATAGTGTAAAAAAGTTAGTGAACCGTTCGTTTCTTTCTGCATTTCAATAGCAAATATAAATATATAAAAAATAATTATTTAGAATTCAATTTAAGTTTTTTATTTAGTCAACGCCACTGATCGCTTGAAACGCTGGTTCAATACAGTCATAAATGCGCGGCTTTGCCTCATCCTAGTTGGCGCGTGGTGTAGTTATAAGCTATAAAGGTTAACAAATAATTACTTACCCGTCTTTAAGGCATTCATGGACTCAATAATTCCTACCACAGCAAAAGCCCAGCAAGCTCCACACGAGCCTTGAGCTTGAATATCAGAAACGGCTCTTTTCTTTCTTATGTCGACTTTTTGAGGTAAGTTAAAGCTCGTTGTATTTATAAAACGTTTTGATCTTGGAACGTTTTGTTTCAAATTCTTAATTTTTTTAAAGGGTTGTCTTAAAACGAGCTGCGACTTTGAAAATTCTTCTGGAAACATGTCGGAGTATTTAGTCAGTCCATATGTGGCAGATGCATTTGATCTGAGAGAATTTAAATTTTTAATGCGTTTTAAAGATTCCTACAAAGTTTGAAAACAATTAATTGTAATTGTAAGCACCTATCTGTTAAATATTTTTAATTATGTGAAATACGAGATACTTTAAGCACAGTCTTTTTGGCTTCAGTGATAAATATGTTCTTGATTCAAATTGTGTATTCAAATTACGTACTCTCATATAAAAATGATTTCATTTCTTTTTATTAAATCATGTAAAATACTTTTGTCAAATGAAAAACTTTTTGTAAATTCTGAATAAACGATATTATTATAACGAGGTTGAGACCTACTTCGTAGTAGCTAACTATATATTTATGCAGATATAATTATTAGAAAAGTGTCTACTATTTTTAAATCTGGTTTTCACCAATTGATTTTAATTATTCTAGAGTTTTTTAACATAGTTTTCTCACGAGCACATAAGAACAACAAAATTAAACTTTGTGCATAAAAAAGAACGGTTTTTAAACTGTTCTTTTATGACCCATAATTATAAAAAAAACTCTAAAGCTGCTGCTTTTTATTTAACAAAAAAATAATATAATAATTTTTAGGCGGAAGGTCTGATGTAAACCACTCTTGCCTACTTCAAATATAAACTTTACCTCCATTATACATGGTATTTTCTAAACATACATCACACATTTAACGGGTCAAAATAAGAAAAAAGTTCCTCTCATGATTGCAATGAAATTTCCGTTGCACGGTATCAAAGATTGTTTATCAAATTGAACAGATAAATCATTGCCGTTAGTAGTATTCACAGACCTATTCTGTGGTCATAAAATTGAAGTGAGCAATTGGTATACGTAACGGACAGTTGCCGAATCAATATTTATTTTTATAACATGTATAATTGAACTGTCAACAGTTTTATTTTTGTGTTGATATTGTGTATTATTTCTACATTCAAAGAATATGTGTTGTAATGAACCTGTTTGACCACATTGGCAGGAGGGGACATCCAGCTGTCCCATTCTATGTAGATGTATTAGTGTCCAACAATGTCCTATTCTACATCTGCATATGGTACTAATTTGATTCCTATTTATATTAACGTCCTAAAACCATGGTTTTTTTAATAGTATGTCTTGGATGTTGTATAAGTGTTGTCCGTTTATTTTGCATATTTCAGTCCACTCCTCTTCCAAGTCTTCCCATAATTTTCATTCTGCAGGTTATCACCGAATATCCAATAAAGTGACGCCGACCAACCTCCCAATCCAAAGGTATCATGCGATTCGTGCCGAAAGGATGCGTAGTGGCGGAGGAGCGGCACCGGGAATGGAGAATCTGGGAGTAATCAGCCTTACTACAGTAATGTAGGAGTCTACTATAGTCCCAGCTACTCGTGAGATTGGAACTAGAAACCATTCAGATGACACCAGAAACGACGGAGATAATCCCCTCGACCGCCAGGAGACTGGCGGAGAACGATGGAGGCTTAACCCCATCCACCAACGTCATTTCGGAGGGGTTGGTGGAGGTGCTACGTTCATCACCCAACTCCAACGCAAATGAAATCCCACCCACTAACAATAGGCAAGCCGATGCTCTTTCTCCAGGCAAATCTCCAACACGCCAAAGCGGCTCTTGGCAGGAGGTTTGTCAAGGAGAGCCTAGACATCGTAAGTTGGTAGTCGGTAACTCTCCGGACAAACCAAGAGCATGCCTTATCCGAAATAATATAAAATTCCTTTATGTTAATAGGTTACTGCACCCTGATGTGGTTGCAGCCCAGGGCACCTATCTTCGACTGGTGCTTTAATCAATGCGAATGCGCATTTACTAAATGCGAATGCGTATTTGCTCAAAAGCGTGTTGTAGCTATTCTTGGTCGTTCGAATTTATATTGCGGGTGCGCATTTGACAGCGAGTGGGTTTTTGCTCTTCGCATTCAAATACGAAGGTCCAAAGAGCTTGCGAAGGTCTAATTGGATGCACGTTTTAATATTGCAGTGTTTTTGTTTTGTTTCATAAATTGATCGTGACCTATAGGCATGATGACAAATATAATTTTTTTAAATATCTTATTACGAATTAGAAGAGGCCAATAATCGTCCTCGAAGAGTTTATGATGATAGGAAAGATCCTTTCAGACTTTCTGATCAAGCGTTCATCAGATTGTTTCAGTTAATTCTATGTGTCTTTTTACTAATATTTTCCATTTTATAACGCTGCAAACTATGTATAGCCAAACAGTACATCAAAAAATAACCCAAAACCACGACTTCATGCTCAAAACCATTACTCATATTAATATTGCTTCTTTTTTACGAATAATTGTCACAAAACAAGCGGTGTGAACTTTGACTCCCCTTTCTTATTTATCAATCATACATGGTTGCCAAGTTGCCATTCGCATTTATAAAAGAGGTACATATACGAAGGGTTAAGAATACGGTTTTTAATGCGTCTTCGCATTGAACCGCTCGCATCTCTTCAAAGCGAGCGCTTAAACGCACTAGTCGAGGATAGGTGCCCAGGTCTCCCCGGCGGGGAACAACAGTAAGAATGTCGTCGTCTGCTCTGCTTACTTCCCGGGAGATACAGGTCAAGACCAACAATCTCCTCCAGCGATAGTGCGAGAACTAGTTACCTATTGCAAGAGGAACAATAAACAGCTCAACATTGGATGCGAAACTAACGCTCACTATAGGGACTGGGGAAGTGCTCATATCAATGTGCGAGGTGAACAACTATATAATTATATAATCGGTGAAGAGTTTATCGTTTACAAAGGCTCGGAACCAACTTTCGTGACGAAAAATCTTGCGGAAATTCTAGACATAACAATCAGTACGCATGCTCTGACCACAGACATATCAGATTTGACATGAGGATGGATCGGGTACCCACTCTTCAATTTCGTGACCCAAAAAGCACTAGAGTGGATACGAAAAGTCCCTCCAGGAGGGGCTGAGTAACGTAATTGAAACCATTAAGAATAGCGCAGAGATTGAAGTGGCGAATGATCAATTTCAAAATGCCCTTATGACTGCCTATCAGGACAACTATCCACTAAAGGAGAGAAGAACTCAGCGGTTGAGTGCCAACTGAGCGCGTCTCCGGGTGGTGGATAGGAGAACGGCCAAGTTTTCCTTGTTCGGACATTTACGTAACTCAATCTGGCAACCTCGCTTGCGGAGTGTTGTGATCGGGAATGCCACGTGACGGGTCTGGGGGAATGTGTGGGCGTGCGCTTAAAAAATAAAGACGAGTGTTGAAAAAAGAGAACAATTCATATAATTCCTTTGTAGAGTTTACATTGTTTGTACCAGTTACTTTTATAATAAAATCGTTAAAAAATCAATTCTTTTCTATTCTATATAATACAGTCCAACATTCCTTGGTTAGTGTGGTAGATATGAGTGCGAAAGCTTAAAAACCCTCAAAATCTTTTGCGAAGGCTACCGCCGCGAACCAACTCCCCCAATCTAAGGTGTAAGGTAACGTGCCGACGGATTGTCAAAAAAGACCCTAAAGGCCAAATCAATGAGGATGAGCTAAGCGTTCACCTCATTGACTATAAGGCCAAAGGTCGAAAGAGAGGCTGAAGCGGGGCCAGTGGAGACTCCTTGGTAAAGGACCTTCTTAAATTGGGGGCAATTTAAGCCAACAGTAGATGACGTGGAGCCAGAAAAAATGGCAATCGAAGACCTCCAGCAACAAAACTCCGAGGAGCCACAAGAGAACACCCCCTCCCCACTTTCGGAGGAACGGATGGTCGAATAATTAACTATCTTGCTGCCCAATTTTCAACGGAGGATCGGAGCAATAAAAGAGGTAACGATCATACAATGTAACTTGCAGCACAAAAGGGTGGCTACGGCAACATTATGCCGCCGCCTTGATGAGCTGCAAGATACAATAGCACTCATCCAGGAACCCTGGATAATAAAAACCAAAATTTTTGGTCTTAAAAATCTAAATTTCCTCCAGAGGGCGTATCACTTAGTTTGAATCGCGAATAGACGAGCTGGTCGCTTACAACATGTAGAAGCAGAACAAATTAGAAAGAGGCAGTGTCGTCGTGATGTGCGTTTATTATTTAATTTAATGTTATTTAGTTTGTTTAAATTTTAAGTAGATTATTTTGTTTATAGAATTGTTTGAAAAAAAATTACTAACCAATATTTTTTTTGTACTTCCAGTCAAAGATATTAGAAAATGAATATTTGTTAAATACTTTTCTTTATAGTACCAAAAGATCATTTTTTTTTGCATGGGGATGCCAAATTTCGTGATATGTTACAAAAGAATATTTACGATAAAAAATGATTTAGTCATTCTTACGAATGTTAAATAACGTTTCGTAAGGTTTTTCTCGAAAATATACCACGGTAATTTGACGTCCATACCCGAAAAAAATTTACCGTAAAATAATATTGTTGCCATTTGAAAAAACTAGTGGTGACGTCATAGAAAAAATATGTATTTAAAAAACAAAATCGACCTGTTCAGATTTTTTTGGTTACTTATCCAATAAAGCACGATTTCTGGTCTTTCACCAATTATGCCCAACACTGTAAATTATATTCAGGTTTCGTTTTTCTTAGGTTGTAGGTGTTTAAAGTAAAACTACAGGTTTTTTGTTGGTAAATGGTGAATTTGTAAAGCTTTCCGCTTCTGTATGAGGCTTCCTCGTTATTGTTATTTTGTCATTCCGTATTTTATTTTTTTAACTAAGTAAAAATTAAAATAACTCTGATATTATAAAAAAAATAAAAATAATAATAACACAAAAACTAATTACTTAATTAAAAAAATAATACCAATGTATAGAAAATAGTACAGAATAAAAAATAAATAAAAGTACTGAGGAAGGCTCATACAGGAGCCGAAAGCTTTACAAATTCACCATTTACAAAAAAAAAAAAAAACCTGTAGTTTGACTTTAAACACCTTTGACCCCAGAAACCCGAAACTAGAAAATTTATATAAAGTGTATAAACCAGAAGAACATATAATAGGTATTCCTATGCTTTATGGTAAAATCAAGAAGTAAATTAAATTGTTCA